TCGTCTATGGTGATGGTACATGCGGCTATGTCGCGTGAGGCTGTGGTGATTGGGTTTAGAGCTGCTTCTAGGTCTTTGCGGACGTAAAGGCATGCTCGTGGTCGTGATTTTCCGTTTAATTCAGCTGGTGTTGGCGATATAAGTATCCAGTTGGTTTGGTTGGGTGGTAAATAATCTGGCCTATTAACGTACGGTTCTTGGAGTGCTAGGATGGAAAATGTGTTAGTCATTTCGTGGTTAAAAAGGGAGTGTGTTACGTGTGGTGAGTGGCGGCAATTAAGTTGGAGTATTGCTGCCGTGTCTTGCGTTTTCAGGAGTTCTCGTAGTCTTTGTTCTATCATTGAGAAACATTCATATTGTTTTCTTCGATGACTACGACATACGGCGAGCTGCTGGGGTTGTGGGGGGGTTTACTTGCTGCTATCCGGGTTGGGAACGTTGGGCTGAACGGATGGTGAATGAAGTCTGCATGGTTGGATTTAAACAACGCTTTAATGTTGGTCATGGGATCCAGTTTGACCTTGTGTCGTGCACAAGCCGTGCACTTCATGTCGGCCTTTCCTTTTAAGGGGCAGGTGTGCGTGTGGTGGTTTTCGCCACAGTACGGGCAAAGGGGGTCCATGGGGCAAGTCGAAGCCGTATGACCTGACTTTTGGCAGTTGTAGCAGCGTTGCGGCGGCGGCCCACTCCTAATGGTTAGGTGTTTGCCTCTGCCGTGCCATATCTTCTGGGATACACATTGCTGAACTTCTTCTTCACTGCTCAGGCCAATCAGAATCAACGAGTGCCTCTTTGACGGGTTTTCTAGGGGTTTGGGGTTAAGCCATCGAACAAAGGTCATACCTTTGAGTAAGTTGTTGTTGCTCATTTGCAACTCTTCACGATGATCCTGAAGTTCTGGATTGAACGTTGTTGGGATACCATTCACGATTATTTCGTGTTTGGCTTCTTTCATCTTCATGGTTTTTGAGAATCCCTCTACCCATAATTTGGGAGACGATCTCACCTTTGCTGCTTGAGCTGATGTTTCAAAATAGATGTCAATGTCGTTTGACGGGTGACGACGGACGCTTTTGATTTCTATAGCATCTTTGTCGTCAGGCTTCATCTTGACATTATATGCTCTGAATGCTAAATTAAGCTCTTGGATCAGCTTAGCGTTGGATAGATTTGGATGCGTTATTTCCGCTCCTATTGTGTGGGATAAAGTGATCACGTTAGTGGGCTTTATTTTACTTGGGTGTTTTGGGGTTGGCGCTTTTGGTTTATTTGGCACCGTGTTTGTTTGGTGGTTGTTGTTGGGTGCATGCTTGGATGCCGCTAATGCGTATGATGTTGTTGGGGTCTTTTTTGAAGGTACAGGAATGTTCTTCTGTCCTATTGCATTTGAGAGGATGGCAAGTTGTTCGACTATTGTGTCCAACTTGTCTTCTGTTTCCCTGCCCTTGAATATGATAGAGCGTTTTTGGGGTTGCCCGGAGAGGGCTTCTGGTGTTGTAAATTTACGACGAGCATCTTCATATAAGACTCGGTCGTAAACTGCTCCTGTCAAGACTAAGATGTCTGCGGCTGATTCGACATCAACCGTGATTTTCTTTGTCGTTTTAGACTTGTTGGCCAGTGGGAATCCTGCTTTGATCACCTCCAGGAGCTCACCGACCATCTCCTTAAGAGACTTTGGTTCGTTGGCTCCTGGGAAAAGATCCTGTATTCGGTTTGATCTCGGGGTTCCTGTTAACTCGGCGGCTTGGTATTCAGCCGTCGTTCCTGGGGTTTCGAGGCGACTTCTCTTCTTTGAGAAGTTTCCAAGGTCGGAAGCTTGGATTGAGGGTGTTTGATTGAGTCCTTGACTAAATTTTTCTTTGTCAAAAACGAGAGGAGTAGAGGGGTTGGCCGAAGATTTGGCCTTTTCTTGGGGTCCAACCGGGTTAATAAACGCGTTGGACGCGTCACGAGTTGCTGGGGTGGTCTTTGAAGACCCCTGCTTCTCTTGGCCCGTATCCGGCGCGTCGTCGACGTCCATGCCGGCCAGAATCGCGTGGGGAAGGTGATCGGGAGTGCTGAGAAAAGTTAGGATAATGAAGAATCGAAATTTGGACGACTACTTGCGCAGTCACGGACCGGGTCACGTGACTAGTTAGTAATTCGTGGTAAGAGATTAGACACCCAAATTGTCTTGATATCAATCAAGATTTTCGAAATAAATCAAAATTGGTGAGGTTTGGGTTTTTGAAATGGTTTCTTGAGTTAGAGAAATTAAACTGATTGCTTGAGTTAAACTTGATCAATTTGATTCAGTTGATCTGATCTCCACAAAAAGTGATATTCATTGATGTTTTGTAAGTGTTTTGTTTTTGTTTCTTTTTGATGAGGCTTGCATGTAAAAGATCGGGTTTAGAATGTTGTTGGATAGAAGGTTAGGATGTGTTGAGGGATCATTTGAAGAAAGCTCATATATCTTATTAAGAAAGTGAATCAGTTGAGATAATCAATCACAGAAACTGATACAAAAACAACAACTAATTAATTTCTCAATTTGTCTTTCAAAGTTTGATCCTGAATCTCATGTAAGACATCTGGGTTTAGGAAGGTTAAGCTTTGAAGCCATTCAATTAACCACCTAATCTGAGTAATCAAAATGAAAAAAACAGCTAATCGTTTAACTGAAAGTCCTAAAGATGTAGCTTCTTGATTTGAACATGTCATAGAGAATTTCACCCATACTTTAATGATTGAATATGAAATTGTGAAGCTTCCAATGGATATTGGAATTGTAAACTTGACACAAGAATTACAATCTTTCCAAAGCAGATACCAAAGTTGTGAATTGGTTGTGCGCCTATAAATTTCAACAAAAAGATAAACTGGGGGGAATGAAAGTAATTCTTGTGGCACTTTGTTTTGTCAAGTAAAAATTTGAATATTATTTTGGTTTTGGTTGGGTCGCTTTCTTCTTGCAATGGTCGAGAAGAGTCCCATTGATCAATAAACACACACCTTTGGGAGATTGGAATTGGGTCAAAATCAGCTCTTAAGTACTCACCACACGGAATAGTTACAATGGATATTGTGAATTGTAATACGTTGTATGTATGGTTATACCGTGGTAATTGTCATAAGACGATAGCGAGAGATATGCTGGCAGGGTAGTTACGAGGCCGTGTGATTGATGTTGAGCTACGGGTAAATCGGGATATGCATCAGTCTGTGATATGTGATAGATGCTCCAAAGTGTAATGGGTTGTGCAGATCAAATAGAAGCAGCGGAGGGAAATTGTAGACAGGCTAGTAATCATGTGGTGACAATTGTTGGATCAATAGGGTAGATGACGGGTAGAAGTCATGTATGCTGGTTGGCCAATAAAATAGGAGGTTACCGTTTGCATGGGATGGCATTTGTCGTGTTGCTACGATTGCTAAGGGAATGATCAATGCCATCATTGGTAAATCGCCGTATGTCTTGAAGAGGTACACATGATTTGGGTGTGAATGACGAGGTGCTGTATTGATAGGAATGATGTTGAGAGACATGTATCATGAATACGGAGGATGCCGAGCAATTGAAAATAACAAGGGAATGCAAATTTTCTGCTTGATTTTGGACCAAAGTCCAAAAGTGGCTTTGGGATTAAATGTTATGATGATGATGATATATATATAAATTCTCCACATACCTGATCTACATTCACATCTTTGATCTCTAATTCACCAAGCTCTTCAAACCCAATCGCATCATCCTCAATCTTACCTAATTTGGGAACCAAAGACCTATGATCTTCATTAGTTTTCTCAATCTTATCATGTGAAGAAAGTTGATTGCGAGGTGTCTGAAGATTCTGATAGCAAGAAAAATCAAGAGGCGCTGAAACCAAAAGGGCCTCTTTGCAACAATGGAAGTGATTGCTGAAAAGGAGGCTGACGAAGCGGCTTAACTTTCTGAGCTCCAAACAAAGGCTGAGGAAGAAGTGGATTTGATATCAAAGAAAATACGTGGATGACAGAGAACCATGAAAGCTGACATGGAATCTGAGAAAGCAGGTGGACTTCTTGGCAATGCTGTTATATTGTATTTGTCAGACCAATCGATATCCTTGATCTTGAAGCATTCGGCTGATCATATACATTCCTCAATCAACATGAAAGGATCTGTAAATATAATAAAACACATGGTCAGATCAATAAATCAAAAATGAAATAGTCCTTAAGAGCTTACCAATAATGATAGAAAATCCAAATCCACCAAAGCTGGTTGGTCATTGGAGATACGGATCAAATCAATTAAGTTATAAATTGATTGTTTAATGAAGATGCTTTAATCTATACATAAAAAACAGATGTTAGTAATTGAGTGAGGTTGTACGAGAGAGAGATAAAAAGAGGATTGACTTGGTTTGAAACTGCCAAATAGTTTTGAATGGTTGGAACATTCTTGTGGATTTTGGATTGTGAAATTTATTGATTTGTTTATTGGTAATGACCTTTAAAGTTCTTCCTCAAAGGCTAAAATCAAAGTCCTCAAGAAAAACAATAGAACTAAAGATTAGTACTTTTTGGTTGGTTAAAGTTTCCACGAATGAGTATTATCGAGATTGTTTTCAAAGAGATTCATACCTGACCAACCAATTGCACCACGATCATCAAATCCATCAAAATAGAACTGTTTTTCTAATTTGAATCTCACCCATTGAGATTCGTGTAGAGACTCATCATTATTTCCATCCTAAAGAGTTGCATCTGAATGGAAGTTTTCAGATATTGTTTGGCTTCTTTTGTATTTGAAATTGATCCAAGTTTCCCTGATGATGACATTCTTCGCCACTTTGTTGAATAAAATGATGATTGAAGTGAGATTGATGCCAGTTAGTATTTCATTGAGTGTGTTGCTGAATGATTTGGATCATGGTCTATGTACTTATGGAATCTCTTTGAGATTGGGAGTGATAGTAATAGTAGATCTCCATTCGAATATGGTGCAAAGTGTTTTTGAAAACCTCTTGTTACGCCCTGTAACAAACCCTTCTGCATGGTCTTTGGGAACTGTTTTGAACGGAAAGGAAAATGATTTCATTTATTAGTTGATGAATAAAAAAGTGTGTTTGATTTCAAAATCTAACTGACAGGTGCTCATTAAAGTCCCCACACCTTGTGATCCTGGATTTTGTGTGAAAGGAGGATACAAAGATTAAGCAACAAAGGGTTTTGGAGCTTTGAAGTTTGAGCAATCAAATACTCAACAATGAATTAACTCACTTGCGTGAATACCTGAATTATTAAACTGAAGAAGTATGAGATCGGTCCCTTGGAAAACGATGAGGACAAGGAATAGGATGAATTAAACATACTGGCTTATTTTGGATTCTCTTGACTGTTTTCCTCATCATCATGAAAAGTTGATTGCGCTGGACTTGATTGTTTTATATATTCACTTGGTAAGGGTAAAGAAACAACATATTGTATAATAAAAGCAGTCAAGAATAAAATGGTCAATGATTGGAATAACGCAATTTTCTGGATAATCAATAACGAGCCGATTGAAATTGGTTGCCTCTGAACAACCTAACAGAAATGAAGGTCTCCCAGCTGAATAGACAAAACAAATCAAGGCATAGGAGACATAAGGTGAGATCAGCTTGGGTTGAAGTAATTTGATTGCACCCAATTCACACTTACGCATCCATCTCCTAGAACACTCCACCGGGTACGACATGAGGGTAAGGGAAATAACAACGGGTCCCTGGAATTTCACGGCCTACGTTTTACGCTACATAAATTTTGGAAAGTGCGTAACACGTAAAATTCCACTATCTGCTCACAATCTGTAATTTTACGCTCGTTCGATCGAGCGCAAGATTTCCAGCGCAAAGTATGGCACGTAGAATTCCATTATGCATACGAGAAAGACGATTTTTACGGCTCTTTTCTTTTACGCACAACATCGAGCGTAAAAAAAGCAGCGTTGAATTAGATAAAGCAAGTTAAAACTTGAATTTTACGCGCGATAAGCAGGATTTCACGCTCCAAATTACCTCAGATGTCTCTGGTGTCCTGGCCATCCCGATGAGATCGATGTTTTTTTGGGTCTTGAAACCATCACTCAAGTGTCATAACCAAAACAACGACCCCTGATGAGTATCGTGAGCCGGGTTGATTGCTGTGATCACTTCAACTGCCCTGCTGGATCACTTTGGCGATCGAGCCCAGTTGGTAATCAATCAATTGGACCAGGGCCCAGATATATCAAAGAAGGTAGGAACAGCTCGTTTCAGCCGTTTTCCAAATAATGAACATTGGTTGGTTTAGCAACCAATGTGAGCCCTTTTCGCTTCCTATTGTCTTGTGTCCTCGATTTCATCTTGTCCTGGTCTTGATTTTGTTATCTAAGCTGCCTTCCTCATTTTCAAACCATCGACATCTTCCACATCAATGTAGAACACTTTTTCACCTCCTCATTGGCTTGAAGTTTTGTTTTTTCATTGTCCTACCATATATGTTTCATTGCTGCTTGATTTTTTCCTTTCAGTACTTCTGTACGCGTAGGAAATTACTCAAGTGGTTTTGAATCTATGTTCATTCTTTGCTGCTTCAAAAGATTTCCTTTAGTACTTCTGTACGCTTAGGACATCATTTGGAGCAGCTTAGATTTTCCACCTCGTTTCTTTACCCATCCGAATTTTTTCCTTTTAGTACTTCCGTACGCGTAGGAAATTATTCAATGGGTTCTGAATCAAATTCCAGCTTGTCAGTTAGTTTGTTTATCTTTATTTAGACAGTTTGTAATGAATTAATGTGTATAGGAGATTTTTCAAAAGAATCATTCAAAATTTTACAAGACAAAAAAGTAAATTGAAATGATCAAACTGAAGCTCAAAAGCATGTGACCTGATGTCGTCCGGCTCACAGGTGTGTCTTTCCTTTGCATCCCATTTGACTAAAGCAATGGTATTAATACAGCACACCATCAACAACCTTACAAGCCTATGGTAAGATCATATTTCCCCCCTGGCTTTCCCGAATCCTTTTGAGAAGCTCAGCTATCCATTTGACTGTGGTACTTTTTGATCCAAGTGGGTATATTAGTACTTTGAAGCATTGTCGTGTTGCGGTGCTGACCAAAAACTTCCGGAAATGGCAAAAGAGACGGCTCTTTTGCCCTCAAGGTGCAAAAGTGGATTCCATCGATAAAGGCCAGTACTATGGGAGCTTTACTGTTTGGTTGGGTGCGATAAGGAAAAAAAGTGTTGCAGTTTCCTTGACTTGGTTCCAATAGTATTACGGGACAATCATAAGCACTAGCAATAACAAACCCCATGTAAGGCATCCGCATCCAGTACGCCTTATCGCATTCAACTTTGTTGTGATTCAGTCGGATGAGCAGATCTTGAACAACTTCTGAAGCAAAAGATTGAGTTCTTCTAGTCCTCATTGAGGTTTGGTTTGGAGTTGAGGAGAGGAGCATTTCATGATTTTTAGCATGTTCAGATAGCTCATCAAGTAGTTTCTGTCTGACATCCAAATATAATTGTTCAGAATAGATACCCAAAGCCTGCGCGATCGCATAGTATCCACAGTTTCCATATGCAGGTGGGTTGAATGTTGACTCGATGTAGGGAACCATGAAACCAGGTATCTGCCTCAATATGTCCTGATCTAGATGAGAAGTGAGCACACTTTTCTTGCAGCGACGACTAAACGACTTGGAATCTTTGATGACATTTTCTGCAACAAAATTCTCGTCTTCAAGAGGAAACATTGCGTTGCCAAAGACTCGGCTTTCTTCCAGAGTTTTTTTGACTTTGGGATGCGCCCTTGGCAGGTCCAAATCTTCAGCAATGAGTGACAAGGCAACTTCAGGAACCAGTACACGGCGAATGAAGTATTCGGGAGGGAAAGGAGTGGCTTTTCCAACATCTAGTTGAGTGGCTGACTTTTTGGACAAGAACATTCTAGTCAAAGTCTTGCTGATTATTTCCAAACCTCTCTCGCCATAACTGAGAGGGAGGAAATATTGTTAGTGTCCTCCCAATACCCTACAAATATGAGCAAAAACTTACTACCCGGGCTGCTCCACCTGAAAACCATCAAACTCGCCGGATAAACTGAACATGGCAGGTCCCTTTTTTCCCCATTGGATCCTGGCATTTTCCAGAAAAGACGAAGATGATTTTTTATCAATGATCTGGACAAGATAATCGGTATGATTTTGAATGCGCCTGAAATTTAGCCATCATCAGCAAGCAAGGTCGACTCAATTTACTGGAGATGAAAAATCGCAAGGTCAAGTAGAGAATTCAAAACTTACTGTTCTAGAATGTTGAAGTTGATTGCAGTTGGCCATCCCTCAAGTTTTCCCAAGGGTATCACATTCCGCTCCGCCGCATGGAGATCACAGAAATCAGCTGATATCGGCCACTAAGGGTACATAAAAGTTCAGCAAAAAAACAAATCAATTATCAAACTAATGAAAAACAACTCACAGAAGAATCGGGCAAGGCCAATAGTTTATCTTTCAGCTTCAGGAGTTTTTCCGATGGCGCTGAAGGAAGCAGATCTTCACAGAACGGACATTCTTCTTCTCCTTCACATTGATCTTGCATGCTGACGTCAGAATCACTTGTGTCAGAATTACTCGTGTAAACTTGTGCTGGTTCATTCTTGGGTGCAGGTAATATCTTTAAAGTAGGACAATAGTTGGCCCGATGTCCTGGTCCCTTGCAGAGGCCGCATTTGAAGGGGCGTTTGGATTGTGTTTGCGTTGTTTGTTGCAAAGGTTGGACTGACTGAGAAGGAGGAGCTTGAGACGTTTTGGAACTTTGAGTGTCCTGAGAAACGCTTCCATTAGATGTAGAAGTACGAGCCTTCTTCTTTGCGCTTCCTGAAACTGGAATTGGGTCAGGTACTTGTTTTCTCTTCCCTACCTTCAAAATCAATCGCTGTGGTTTTATCTCTCCGCTGACTTGATCTTTTTGATCATTGCCTTTAGTAATCTCTGGATACGCAACCTGAGTCAGATCTGATAGCTTGGTGTTGTTGCCGAATAGATCCGTGAGTTCTGACTGATCAAGAGAAATGAGTTTGTTTGCGGCCTCAGTCGGATTTGATAGCTTAGTGTTGTTGTTGAATAGATCTGTGAGTTCTGACTGAGTAAGTGAAATAAATTCATTTTTTGACTTCCCATTCAAACAATGTGTGCTGGTCTTGTCATACTTTGGTAATTCAATTTGAGAACTTTGATGATTTCCTTTTCCATGTTCTAGTGATGATGCAGCTTGGGTGGGATGTTGAGGAACTGTTGGGAATGGATTGAGTTGTGGAATCAAGAGACTTTGGTCCTTTAGTTTGAGAAGATTATCTTTCATGTATTTTACTTCTTCGGGATTGAAATCTCTGGAATACATCACCCATGATGTATGTTCAGATGTTCCTCCAATAGATTTTAATTCTCGAGCAACCATTTGAGCTTTGCCTGCATTAATTGCATCATTATGAACCCACACTGCCTTGAGACCTTTGTAATCACGAACTACTTTGCACCAGTAATGATTTCCACCCCAATACCCCCGAGCATTCATTTTGTAAGTTATGTTTTCTAAAACAAGCTCATAGGGAAAATCAACTTCAGCCTGCATTTTTTTGGCGGCTTTGTGATCAGAATTGAGCAGCAGATCTATGTCGAGTTGAATGTAAAGATGAGGAGGAGGTGGTTTTAATTTGATGACACTTTGCTCATAAAACACTGGTGTTCCTGTTGCACCTTCTGGACACAACGTACAGTGTAAGTTTGAAATTCCCCAAAGACCAGTTGAACACCGTTGTGAAATCAAATTTCCAGCTCCGGAGTAATCAAGGCTGCGATTCTGAAATTGTGATGGTATGATGTGGATGGTGTTGGTTTGTGTGATTTCTGTTTTTTTATGAGTTGAATCCTTTGAACAGATGTACTGGACTTCACAATCCACCCGCCATATAGTCTTGATTGGTGCTGTTGTGTTTGTTTTTGAATCAAAAAGTTTTTTGAAAAACGTATCTGCTGAGTGAAATTCATTGCTTTTAAACATTCCTTCAAAAGTTGACTGTAATGCATTCTGGAGAGAATTTTGCCCTTGTACGAGGATCTTTGCAATGCTTGCTACTTCTGACATTTCACATGTAGCACGCGAACTGAGATGTTGTGTTAATTTTGTGTAATGATCACCAGACTTTCCATTAGATCCACGGAACCAGAGCGGATTGATAAGAGTGTAGAGACATTCAAGGATCAAATTCATCCAGCAACGGTTTGCCCGAGGGAATTTT